ATTTATAATATTAAACCAAAAATAAATTGTTTTATTATTTGACTTAAATTAAATTATATCTATACTATCTTATAAAACATTTGACAAAAACTTTTAAAAACAACTTTTTAAGCCTTAAATACTGCTATATTATAATGCTAATTACTTAATATTTAAATGTACAAGTTTTTAATGCTTAGTTACAAGTATATCAATCCCTTGATTCATATCCTCAATTCCACGTCCATATCCCTCTGTATTCGTTCATATCCCTTATCTCTATTCGATTTCAACCAGATTCTTCCACATCCTTCTCTATTTTAAATTCAAACGGCCTCTTCGTGCATATCATTCTATCGATTTCAACTGCTCAACCGGTTTAGATGGAGATACTTCACATCCTCTACTCGTATAAATTTGAAGCAGGTTCAAAGTCTCTTGCGGTTGTTTTCCAGAATACAAGCATATGGCATATTGTTCGATTTTTAGGGTTTCTCTATGACATCTGTTTTATTTTGGCAACCTAATTTCTAATTACCCATTTTTGTTTGACTTAGGGGATTGTAGTATGTTTGTTTTCTTTACCATATTGTTCAATTTATTGGGTTTCTCCATGACATCTGTTTTTATTTTCGCAACCTAATTTCTAATTACCGATTTTTGTTCTATATGGGAATTATAGCATTTGAACCCAATGTTGCAATTTGTGACTGTTTGCAAATAATTGTTTGTAGAGGTTAATGTTTCTTCTTTGATGGATTTTGTTGTGGTAGAGTGGAAGTCACAACCAGCGGAATAGGTTGATTGAAGAAGATGACCAGGAGATTGGTGTTGACTCTGAAATCAACTTCTATTCAAGTATGCTGAGATCCAAAGTGCAATCTCTGTTGGTATCCACCTCTCATCCCAATTTTAGATCATTTAGTTACTTCTATTTATGATTGTGTAACTTTATTCTCCAAGTGTCCATTGTCTTACCAAAAATATACATTAATTTGTTATGTGTTGGAATCAATTTTCACCTCCCACTTTGGTATAGAAATGCACTGAAAAGTGGCAATATGACTAATAACCTCATGTCCATTCCACCCAAATATCACGGCTTGGGTTGTAGGTCTGTCATATTTGCCATTTTCGACCATAGCTATGAGATCCCATGTTGCCCAGGCAATTGCTTAGACATTGGATATATCCATATCAAACTTCATTTAGAAACTAAGAAAAGTTAAATACATAGTCGAGCATTGTTACTACTTTTGATCGAAGTCTATATAGAAATAAGATTAGCTACTACTTTTAAACTTTCTGCTGTATACACTCTTGGCAAGATTGGAACTGTTCATCTAATACCATTTTCCAGTCAATGAACATGAGTAAAAGGTCTTAAAAATCTGAGCAGAGATATATTTATATATCCTTTGTTATTCATGCTCAGTTTTTGTTGGCTCGATAGATCGATAAAAGGGTCTATCATATGGCCTTCTTTCAGGTAATTTTTCAAGTTTTTAACTTGAGAAACATTATAGAGCTTAGTACCAGACCTGTAATGTTGAAGACATGATGCTTGGGTAGGAACATAAGTCATGTACACGATTCCCTCCACCACCTTTTCTTTAATAAAATGTCTATCCACTTTCACATGTTTGGTCCAGTCATGCTGACAGGATCAAGAGATATATTAATCGTTGCTTCTTTATCACAATAATGCTTGGGGCTTCAATCATAACTTCGAGTTCTTTTAGGATCTTCCATAGCCAAA